AGAAAACGAACCCCTTCGGGCGCTGCAGAAAGGGCCCAGCCCGTCCAGGGCCCAGCCCCGCAGCCCCTCGGGGGGGGGCGGGGGGCGATCGACGGTGACGACGGAGAGGATCGATGGCGACAATGGTGACGATCGATGGTGACGATGGGGACGACCGATGGTGACGATGGTGACGATCGATGGTGACGATGGCGACGATCGATGGCGATGGGGATTGATGACGGTTTTGATGTTTTGCCATGATGGGCACCGACGCGACCGATGGATGACCTAACGGCGCGCCCCAGAGACCTTACGAGCCATGCCCGATATAGAGCGACGGCGTACATCATACCCTACCTGACCGTGCGTCAGCCGAAAAATACGACCTCCCGATTCCGAAGCAAGAGGAGGGGGTTCAAGAGAGCGAGGAGGAACTACTACTCCACGCGAATTGCTTCGGCGCGCCCGCTGGCGCGCGAGCGCCAAAGTACGCGCTGCAGCCGGGCCGCGAGGAGGGGAGGGGCAACAGAGCAGCGAGGGGCTACAGCCGCGGGCCCCGCGGGCGACCCATCTGGCGAACCAACTGTTCGCGAAGGCAAAAAGACATGGGGCACCAGCCGATGAGACTGGCAACATAGCCAGGCTGGCATTCCGCGCACACGAAAGTGCATAGAGACTGAGAGCGAGGGGCTGCATCACCTCGCCGAATTCAGCTGGCAGAAGCGCGCCATCCGCTTTGCGGACTCGACGCGTGCATGCATTGCACTCAACTATCGGGGCCCCAGGGCTACCGCAGATGCCACCCACGTCGCGAAAGCTCCGAATGGGCCGCACGAGCACGCAGTCGGTGAACGTCGACGAGGCCGCCGACGGGGCAATCCAGATCCACGCCGACGAACTTCACCACGCGCCGATCGTCCGGCCGCCGCCGATAGGCCCGCTTGGACTTCAGGCACCTCGCCTGCTGAGGTGGACCGAGGTGGACCAGGCTCAGGTCCGACGGGTACCTCACGAACGGCGGCAGCAGGCTTGGAGGCGCCACCACGGTCTCGCCGCCACGGCCGACAATGCGGCTCCGCCGCAGAGTGGGCCACACCAGACGCCGCGCCTCGTCGTCCGCCTCGTCCACGGCGGGCGGCTCGTCGGCGAACGTCGCCACTGAGGCGCGCGGGCGCGGGCCCTTTTGCAGCCAGCGCTTCCGCTTCTCGAACAGGTCGCCCACCACCTCGCACTCGTCCGGGTTCTCGTCGTAGTAATCGTATGGCACGTCAGTCGGGTCAGACGGGCTGGACCACTCACACGACAGCGAATGCCAGGCGGCGTCGACTTCGTCGACGTGGCGTCGACGTGGGCCGCGGAGACGCCGAGGGAGTCCGCGTCCACGTCGCCAGCCACAACGCCAGCCACGCCGAGGATGGAGTCGTCCACCACATCGTCGTCGCTGGAGAGGAGGGGGGGGGAGGGAGGAGGAGGAGGAGGAGGAGGAGGCGGGCACAGACTGGTTATGACAGACTGAGTTGCGCCGTGGTTGCTCGAGGGAACGAAGGAAGGAGGAGGAGGCAGACGGGGAGGAGGAGGAGGAGGAGGAGGAGGAGGAAGAGGAGGGGGGAGGAGCGCGGAGTGAGGAGGAGGAAGAGCAGGAGGAGAGAGGGGGGAGGAGGGAGGGAGGGAGGGGAGGAGGGAGGGAGGAGGGAGGAGAGGAGGCAGGAAAGCGTGACCGCTCGATAACACCCCGATAGCGCCTCGAAAACACTTCGATATCACCTCGATAACACCTCGATATCGAGGTGTCATCGAGGTGCTATCGGGGTGTTATCGAGCGGTCGCGCTTCCCTGCCTCCTCCCTCCCTCTTCCTCCCTCTTCCTACCTCCTCCCTCCCCCTCTCCCCCTCTCTCCTCCCTTACATCCTCTTCGACCCGTACCGTCTCGGGCCCCACCTGGAGCCCCCATGGGGCCCCTCTTGGAGCCCCTTTTCGGGCCTCATTTGTCCGTGGCCCCTGCGAGGGATGTTGCTGGTCACGATACGCTAACGTGACCGGCTAAATCCCTCGCAGGGGGGCCCGAAAAGACGCCTCCAAGAAGCCTCCAAGAAGGCCCCAAGACAGCCCAGGATCCTCCTCCTCCTCCTCCTCCTCCTCCTAAAGCAGACCTACATCACATAACGAACTCCTAACGTCACGTCCGTCCCTCATCCCACCCTCCAGGTACTGCACCCCCCCCCCCCCATACCTCACTCCCCGGTTCGGCTAAGACGCCCAGCACGGTCCGCCCCCCTCCATCCCAGCCGCCAACCAACGGGCCCCAGGGGGGTTGGGTTCCAAGAAGGGAACGGCCCCAACGCGAACAACCTCAGCGGGGCGGCCGGGCCGGGAGGCTCGGGGACCCCGGGGCCCGGAAAAAGGGTGGATCCCCGACGTCCACTCGCGCCCCGCTCGCGCATTCGGCGAAGGGGCTCCAAATGAATTACAATTAATACTCCTCTCTTACATCCCTACCATCCCCTCCTCCCTCCCCCCCCTCCCTCTCCGCCGCCTCTCTCCTCATCCTTTTTCTCCTCCCTCCTCCGCCTTCTCCTCCGCCCCCCTCGCCTCCGCTCCGCCTCCGCCTCCGCTCCGCCTCCAGCCTCCGCCTCGCCTCGCCGTCGCACTTTCCGCCTCCGCCTCCGCCTCACCTCCTCCCCCTTCTCCTCCTCCTCCCTCATCCTCCTCCTCGTCCGCTTCCTCCTCCTCCTCCTCCTCCTCCTCCTATCCTCATCCTCTTCCTCCTCCTCGGTCCCTCTCCTCACTCCCTCCTCCTCTCCGCTGGCAGAGAGCGACCGCAGCGGAGAGATCCGCAGCGGGCCTCCCGCCGTGCGGGTCGACTCTCGCTACCTCCCCCAGACACGGGCCTCGACACTCCCTCCTCCCTCCCTCCTCCCTCACTCCCTCCCTCCTCCTCCATCCCTCCCCCCTCCCTCCTTCTCTGGAGGAGGAGGAGGAGGAGGAAGAAGAAGAAGAAAAAGAAGAAGAAGAAGAATAATAATAATAATAATAATAATAAGAATAAGAAGAAGAAGAAGAAGAATAAGAATAAGAAGAATAATAAGAAGAAGAAGAATAATAAGAAGAGTAAGAATAATAAGAAGAATAATAAGAATAATAAGAAGAAGCAGAAGACGAATAAGAAAAATACTAATAAGAATAAGAGGAATAATAATAATAATACTACTAATAATAATAAGAATAATAATAATAATAATAAGAAAAAGAAGAAGAAGAAGAAGAAAAATAAGAATAAGAAGAAGAAGAAGGGGAGGAGGAGGGGGAGGAGAAGGAGGAGGAGGAGGGAGGGAGGAGGGAGGAAGAGGAGGGAGGAGGGCGAGGCGGGAAGGAGGATGGAGTAGGGGAGGAAGGACGGAGGACGGAGGACGAGGACGGAGACGGAGGACGGAGGACGCAGGAAGGAGGAAGGGGACGGAGGAGGAGGAGGAGGAGGAGGAGGAGTAGAAGGAGGCGGAGGAGGAGGAGGAGGAGGACGAGGAGGGACGAGGAGGGAGGGTGAAGGCGGAGGAGGAGGCGGAGGAGAGGAGCGAGGAGAGCGAGGCAGGGAGGGAGGGAGGCCCTCCTCCTCCTCCTCCCTCCTCCTCCCCTTCCTTTTCCCCTACCTCCTCCTTCTCCACCTCCCCCATCCCCCTCCGTCCTCTGTCCTCCGTTTCCTCCGTCCTCCGCCTCGTCGTCCGTCCTCCTTCCTCCTCCTCTCCTACCCCCCCCTCCTCTCCTCCTCCCTCCTCCTCCTTCTCCCCTCCTCCTCCTCCTCCTCCTCCTCCGCCCTCTGCCCTTCGCCCTCCGCCTTCCTCCCTCCTCCCTCCTCCGTCCTTCGTCCTCCGTCCTCCGTCCTCCCTCCCGCATCCCTCCTCCCGTTTCCCTCATCCCTCGTCCTGTTCCTCCCTCCTCCTAAAAACAATCAGTACAACGCTATGGGGGGCAGACAACACGCAATTTCTCTTTAGAAAATGAAAATCTAGAACACCCATGTTCGCAACGCGTTCTTCTTACACAAAAAAGAGCCAACAAACAAAAACAAAAACATACATCCTCAACCACTCCAAAACCTATATTCCGTATCTTCATCCGCTGTAGAAACCGCTTCAAACAAACTTACCCTATCTTCCGTACCTTCCACAACTTCAACCGTCGAAGATATGGAAGATCTGGCAGATCAACACAATATCTGGAATATTGACTTATGATATGCAAGGTCAACTAAGATCATCGACCAGAACTTCAACTTAACTCCCACATCTTTCATCGACGATAACAGGAGGGGCGGGGCCAGGGCCGGGGCCGGGGCCCCCAAGCACAACGACCCACCAACGAGCAAACCGTCACCATGTAACGAGTGGTTCCGACCAAGTATAACTGTACCCCCGAGCACTCATTCATTGCGAGATTTGCGTGCTCGCTTTCACCTAGGGGCCCGCCGTGATTCACGCTCTGCTCTGCGAGCTCGATAACATGCAGGCGACCTCCTCCTGCTCCTCCTCCAAAGAAGGCTCTCAAACCTCAAAGATGTCCGACGACGACGGCCACGACGATCACGACGACCCGACGACCACGACGACCATGACGACGACGACCACCACCACAACGATGATAAAGACGACCACGACGATCACTAAGACGACCACGACCACGACCACGACCACGACCACAACGACGACGACGACGATGACGACGACCACGACGACGACCACCGTGACGGCGGCGGCGGTGGCGGCAATGGCGGGACGGCGGCGGCGATGGCGGCGGCGGTGCAGGGGAAGAGGAGGAAAAGGAGCAAGAGGAGGACAAGAAGGACGACGACGACGACGACGACAAACGCCCTGCCACCCGCCATGGGAGGCGCCGGCCCAGCCGGAAGCGTCGGCACAGCCGGAGGAAGCGCTGGGCCAGCTGGCGGGGGCGCCGGCCCAGCCGGAGCTGGCGCCGCCGAGCGGTGCCCCGCTGCCCGCACAGCACGAGCCGTGGGCGGGCTGAGGCGGCGGAAGAGCACCTCCAGCGACCCTCGGCGGTCCTCGAAGGCCCCTGGTCGGGGGCCCTCGGCGGCCCTCGGTCAGAGGCCCTCGGCGGCCCTCGGCGGCCCTCGGCGACTCTCGGAGGCCTTTGGCGGCCCTCGGAGGCCTTCGCAAGCCATTGGAAAGGTCTGCCGTGCGTTCGGAAGCCCTCAGAGGCCCTCGGAAGCCCTTTGAGGGCCTTCGGATGCTCTCGCCGTTGGAGGGTTCAACCGTCAGAGATCGAGGTTCACGGTTTTCGGGCGTTTGGTTTCCCGTTTTGCGCCCCTGGGGGGCTTCTCGTCGCTACGGCTGGATTCCCTCCGAAGTTCTGGAGTAGGAGCAGCAGCAGCAGCAGGAGGATACCTCCAGGGACAACAAAAGAGCGGTTTGCGAATCAGCTCGCGTAGCTGGTTTCTCCCCACATGGTTCGTGGGGTTCTGGTTTTCTTCCCGCCCGCGCCGCACCCGCGTCTCACCCACACCCGCCCTCCTCCCCTCCTCCACCTACTCCTCCACCTCCTCCTCCTCACGCACACAGCACAGCACAGCACAGCACTGCTCAGCACAGTTCATCTTAGCTCAGCACAGCACAGTACAGCACAGCTCAGCTCAGCTCAGCAACGCGCATCATACATCACCCTCATTGGGACACACGTCGTGTTCACACGCCATGCATGCACATACTCACACGCATGCATGCACATACTCGCACACACATCATTCAATGATCGTGCACACAGAGCGTGTTCACTGCATGCATCATACAGTCAAGACGCGCGCACCACATGCTGGGCATCCACACGAGAGACACACGCCCACATACAATCGCACACGCATCCTACACGTGAGGGGGTGCAGAGGGGCTGGCCCACATACACACATACAAGCACACACAGCTCACCTCACACACAGCACAACACAGCACAGCACAGCAAATCACAGCACAGCACAGCACAGCACACCGCAGCACAGACAGCACAGGCAGATCGTGGCAGGAGTGACACTTTCTCGACACCTCAAGGGGTGCGCAGAAGGTGGTCCCTCAGCGCGGCCTCTATCCGTGACACGCTCGCAGATCGTGGCAGGAGTGGCACTTTCTCGACACCACAAGGGGTGCGCAGAAGGTGGTCCCTCAGCGCGGCCTCTATCCGTGCTCGCAGATCGTGGCAGGAGTCCGCTGACACGCCGCGCTCAGATCGCGTGGCAGGAGTGGCACTTTCTCGACACCACAGGGGGTGCGCAGAAGGTGGTCCC